CGCACACCTTCAATTTACATGCGGAACAACTTACTCCTAGAGGCCGCGGGAAGCAAATTCGACTACTTTTTTCACTTTACACTTACTTTTAAAAATTTCCTCCTCTGGCTATCCTGTTTCCCCACTCCCAAAACTCTATAACCACCGTTTTGCAGGACAAAATGCTGGGATTAGGGGTATATGAGTGGGCCTACATAAGGACTTTAGGCCCTTCATACGACTACCCTCATGACTGCGCATGTCTTCGGTTAAGCATAGATATAGTAACCCTCCTATTCCTCACGGCCATTTAGGCTTCCCTCAAACAGGCTGTGTGTTAAGCATAGACATATGAACCCCCTTCCATCCTGACGACCATTTGAGTTTTCCTGAGAGCAGGCAGTTGTTAAATACTCGAATGCATTGAAAGGTAATAAGGGAAGCATGTACAGGTTTATACAAGGGAAGGTCGCTGGGTAATCTGTTTAATTTGCCCCCATCGCCACATCGTACTTGAGCGCGGTGCGGACGACCTTCTCGAAATCCACATCATGAGCGTGGTGGTCTGCAGCCCACGTGCGAAGCACATTCTAACATTACCTTGGGCCAACTTGCTACGCAACGACGGTAGCAGGCTGCCGAGTTCGTACAGTACTTCGTCTGCCGTGGTCCTCGGTAAACCGATGAGGTACTCATCCTCCTGGAATGTATGGATACTATACCGTCCAGAGCGGCTGTAATAAACTTACCGGTATTGGCCTCCATTAGGAATGTCTGCAAGGGCGAGAAAAAAATGTACGCTTAACAGTGAGCACCAAAGAGGATGGGTGGGGGCCTTGCCATACCACCCGCAGACTGCGTTCACCAAACGGTATTGGAGGCTTTACCTTATAGGAGTCTTATTAGGAGGACGATAAGAAGGTAACGAACACACTGTGTATTATGATGGAGAAAAGCCTCTACCAAGTGGGTTCCCCATAGACCCCATGCACGCATTGTAACTACAGTAGGTAACCTAACTCATGAAATCCAACGATTTTTACAAGTAAATCTCTCTTGCCCAAGCGCAGCCCAAGCTGCGGCCCCCAAATTATTACAGCAATAAAGTAATGGTCGTTCTTCATAATGCGGCATATTGTGATTTATGAAGGAATATAAAGTTTTATAGAAATACCAGCTTTTTCAGCAAAGTGGATAATTCCGAAAAAGTTGAAATCGGGGGCACTAGGTAAACTTAAGTTTTACGTATCGAGGAAGCCTGTTCATGCAAAACCACAGAGTGAATAAAGCAGCACAAGTAAAATTACGTTGGAAATATTCCCTTGGTAAAGTTTTCGAATACATATGCTTCTATATTACGTGCAATGTAATGTATCGCTGTTACCGAACGGCCCAAATTTCGAGTATGTATTCGAACACGTTTTCACGAGAACTCCTAGCTGTTTCTTTCGTTTATGCATCGCTTGAGTTACGTTGGGCTAATGCAACCACGTTTCCGCTTGATATGGCCCATTGGGAGATCACAGAAGTAATAGATAACTTAAGCTAACGTGCGAACATGTCGGTCAGTGACTAATACGTCTAAACGGAAATGTCAGGTACAAATGTAAACGTGCCATTTTTTTTACACTAAGAATAATTGCCTTCCGCCAAAGTTTGTTGGAATTATTTTGGTATTTCCATTACGAATAGGTTCAGATCTTCCTTGAAATGCTAATTAAGACTTTCCGATATTCGATGGCTTCAGTCGATTGAAAATAAATAGTTATTTTATTCCACTTGCTTACCAAAACCTTTAAAATAAGATAAATCTTAAAAGTATTTACCTAAATAACGAGCTTTTAAACATGCTTTTCGTATGCAGCTCTCTGTGAGTGTCATGGATTCATAACCACCCAACCATGTCATCTAATTGCCGAGAAAAATGAAGGTCCACAAAAAAAATCACGAATAAATATGCCTCAGATTGATTTAAAAAATTCTACAACGAGTTACGTCTTGGAAGACAGCTTTAGTTATATATTTTGGCGTCAGATGTCTGCGTACTTTATTTTGAACATTAAGCCAAGATTAGAATGGGAAATTTTGGTCAGTTTATCGATTTCCTAAAAATTATGGACATCTTCTGTTATAAATGAAAGAGCTTACCTTTTTATGTAAATCGGAACAATTTTCAGTATATTTGGTTACTTCTAGGCCCAGTTCTACAATAAAAAAATGCAGAGTAGAGTGTCAATAACATTAACGGCGATTTTTGAGAAAACTGTATTGCGCAATATCCCGCGACAACTCACTCAAATGTGTGTTATGTTAACGCCCTGCTAGCACAATCCCTGGATTGGACGTGTATGGCGACGGAGGAATACGGAGCTATCCGGAGGTGAAGGTTAAGGCATATGTATTTGTCAGGAACCATAACTTTCTTCATTGCTGTGTATCAACATCCCTCGGACCAGAAATGCAATTTGAGTAATTTTTAAGCATTATTCTATGTAAAAAGATGTTAAAATTAAAAAATTAGAAGGTTTGTAAAGTATAATAGGATAGAAGGCATTGATCCCATGGACGATGATGA